ATAATAAACTATTTTAATTAGAATAATAGTAAATCATTTAAGAAAAACAATAATATATATATCATTTAACTAGAGATAATGAATTGTATTTCTTGAATAATAATAAATTATTCTTCTTGATAATAATAAATCATAAGCATTATAACATAAAAATTAGGATATGAAATTATATAAGAATATTTATAAATCTAAGAAAACCTACCTCCTAAAGCTTTCTAATTATTTTTAATTATTTTTTTATATATTATATTATGTATCTGTGATATTTTTTTTTAAGTTTATTTAATACATAATAATTCTTTAACAATGTGATCAATAAGATCATAAATCAGGTCAGAGTTTTGTTTGACCTTACCATACCCCTCGGGTCATGTCATTTGATCGACCCAACCTATTAGAATTGCCAATTCTCTGATCAATACAAGCAATTCTATGCTTTTTTTTGAAGATAAAACGCTTTACAATTATCTCTTAAGCTTAATTCATTTTGAAGAAAAGTTTTATTGTACTTTTTATTTGTCCAATTGTAGATTGAGTGAATATCTCTCTTTAAGTAGATTCAACAGATAAATAAACCACCAATTTTTTTTAAAATTAAAAAGGCATATTTATTGTGTTGCATAATTACTTTGAACGAAAATTAATCTCGACCTTCCGGTTAAAATAACATACCAATTTGTTTATTTTTACAGAGGTTGTGCACTGCGCCTTAAGCACAAGAATGTTGTCGTGTGTAATACTTATTCGGACAGATTTATGTAAGGAAAGCTTACAATCAGAAGTTGATAAGTCGTAATAAAATAAATTTCCTTTTATATAAAAGATTTAAGGTTCATAAGGCAAAATATAAAACCAACTACCATCTCATAATCGGCCGAAAATTTCTCAATAAAGGCTAAATATAACTACTTTTGTTCTCTCTTTTTTTTTTTTTTAGTTGCAGTACCCGAAGCACTAGGAATATATATAGCGATCGCATATTTTAAGACTACAAAGTAGACCTGATGCTAATCTAAGACCCAAGTTCTAACCAGAACCCGCCCGCTAAATACTGGTTCAAGGCTTGCCATCTAGACGACACCCCCAAGAGCTAACCCCAGGGCTTCTAGACCTCAGAACAACTACTTTGTTCTCTAAACATTTCAATGTTGTGCTACCATTTCGTTTTAACGAGATGAGAATAACAATGGAAAATCATTTTGTTTTGGATCTTTTAATAGCGGTGTCTTTATATCGTGTAACACTCTAAAACGTAAACACTCCCCATATAAATAAAGTATAAATTTTAAATTTTTTTTTTTTATTTTTATTTTTTTTTTTGTTTTGTTTTGAATTTACAAAGTGAAAAATGCGTTTTAATGAATTATTTACTCGCCATCGAAAGACGGAACCTTCATCTGTTATTCTATTAAGAATATTGATTATGATAATATTAATATCTTCCCTCACAGGATATTTAACTATTTTGATTATCGATGTGACTAGTGATGAGCCAGTGTTAACAAATACAGTCATTGAAGCAACGGAAATTCCAATTCCTGGTATGTAAGAAAGGAAAGCAAGAAAATCCATCGTAATATCTTTTTTATTAAATAATGATTATTCTTTTAGATATGCTATTTCAATTCCCTTATCCATTCAAATTGACGTGTTTTTTTTTTAGTAAGCAATTTAAAATAATTTTTTTTTTTTTTGAATTTGAATTTGAATTTGAATAATTAACAATAAATTTTGGTCATATAGGAGGATCAAAAGAAGATAATGATTATAGTTGTGATGAATATATAGAACAACCAAAGGCTTCTTTAAGCAACAACAAGTATACCGGTTATTTTAAAAATGTCCAAAATTTGACATATGTAAAACCAGAAATTGATGGAAATGCAATATTGGGCGTATCTGTGCTTGCAACGATTGCTGATACAAATTATAATGCAACCAAAAGTCAAGATCTTATGACATTCACTGCAACCGATTCTGGTACATTAACTAAATTTTTTTTCAGACTTTTTTTTTTTTCAAAAAAAAAAATTCCAATTATTAATTTAACTAATATACTATACATATTTTTTATTTAGAATTTAGTCCTATGAGATATCAAGGTGAATTCAACATTGATAAATCACCTGCATATATTAAAGAATTAACTGCAGGCAACGTTTATTTTATGGTTAGAAATCAGGTAATCATTTTTTTTAAAAATTTATTCTTTCTATTTTATTTTTTTAAAGAAAAATAAGGAATAATGAAGAAATTATTTTTTCATAATTATTATAATTAAGTTGGCACGTATACAATTTACTAAAAACATAAGAGACACAATTATTCCAAAGTTCAAAGATCATCTCGGATTCGAACCAACTTATTATAGACAAGGTTATATTATGTCAAATATACGTATGTATAATAATATTCTTTTTGTTTATTATATAATGATGTAAAATATTTATTTTTATTTTTTTCATAGAAAGCTTTCCTGTAGATTATAAAGCTGGTGATATTTTTGTAAGTCAAATCGTTTTAACTGTACAAAATTTCCTTATAAAAAAAGAGACAGAACAAAGGCAAGTTAATTTATTTTCGACGAAGTATGAATTAAAAATTAAAACAAAATTTATTAACGTATTTAATTGTTGTTACAATATAGGACACGAACCGTAAGTAATTTCTTATCAAGTTAGATTAAAAAGTTAAATTATAATTTAATAACCTTTTTTGTTCCTAATAAAAAGTTACTCAGCATGTTTGGTCTTGTGGGTGGTGCTTGGGGTCTAGCTGCGGCATTGTACGCGGCTCTATTTGGTAATCACTTTTTTTTTAAAGAAAAAAATGTTCAAGTTCATCTTTGATATCTGACATATGATTCCTTCCCTTGCAAATAGGTGTAGACCTGATTCGTCCATGGGGTTGTGTGCAATTTTATTGTTATGGAATACGTAAAAGAGCACATAATAAACTTAAAAAAACTCTTCCGATAATTCCACTAGTTAATAGTACTCTATCTCCCTCTTCTAGAGACGTTTTTCGTGATGAGAATGCAGCCTTACAACTTCGTGTTGATGCTTTAGAAGTTTTCTTAAGAGAGTATGTCGTAGACGTAAATTACTTGGAAGGTGTAAAAGGAAATGATGACAACAATAACAATCATATGAATATAAATAATTATCATCATAATAACTTTGCGCCTAATATGTATAATGTTCATGAACATCAACCTACGAATATTATATACAGATAATAAAACCGAAATAAATAAATAAACGAGGTATAAATATTTAAAGATGCATTAATTTATAAATGTACTGTTTATTCAGTCAAAACTCATTAAGATAATTTTTCCTAATAATTACCAATCATTTCGGCCTTTTAAATAGCTACGTGATGTCCACTTGAGATACAAGGAATTAAGTGAGGTTAGAAAGATTGGAGTTGCGTAGGATAGGGTAGCTTTGATAAGGTTTATGATAAACAAATTAATTACCCTTTGAAAATTGTAGAATTTATTGTGATTTAGTATTAGATTAGAGATAGTCTCAGAATATAAAAGGTGGATTTTTAATAGCTAAGGTTGGATAGGATTAATTGGGAAATAGTTAAAATATGTTGCGTTGCGACAATTAAAACTTGGAATACCTTAGGTTTTCTTTTCATCGCAAAATATTTAATTTTATTAACAATCGTGCGTGTCAAATATTCTTATACATAAGAAGGTATTCGTTAGAAAAGCTTAATTAATTTAGAAATGGTATATACTTACTATTAAAATTTTGTTAGTAATTATTATACGATGATAGTTTTTACGTTTCTATTTAAACCTTTTTTTTTTGCTTAATTTTTTTTTTTTTTGTAAAACAATGCTGTCCTAATTAGTGTTTCAGGCGAAACTATTTTTTTTGCAGATCAATTTGGCGAAACTAGTTTCGTCCCGAAACACTAGTCCTAATTAATACTTTTTTATAAAGACAAGTTAAACAACTTAATATCCACGCTCGCCCTTGTTATATCTTGCATACATAATCCTTTAAATCTTTCTTCGCGATATTTTCGTTTTAACTTTTTAAATTTCGTATTTTCTTTTAATTTCCGACTTTATTATTATTTCATGATTCAATATTTTTTTTTGTAGTTATTTGTAATTGTGCAGTTTTAATTAATTGATTGGCATTTACTTAGTTTAATATATTGATATTGCGAAAGTGTAGAGCGCCAACGTTGAGGCAACACCGATTAATTTGATATTATTAAATAAATATTTGTCATAATTGCTTCATTTTTATTCAATTAATACCTTCTGCTTACATTAAAAATTGTTTATAAATAACATAAACGAAAGAACCCTAACAATTTTTTTTAAAAAAAAAAAAAAAAAAAAGTTTTTTTTTTTTTTTCGCATCAAACGGGAAATTAAGTCAACATCTCTTTAAAATTAAGTATGTATGACAAAAATTATTTTGGAGGGGTTTTTTTTTTTTCATTAAGAATATGTTTTCTTCACACGCTGATCCATAAATATTGCGATCATATCGTAAATAACTGCCTGAGAAAATATCAAAATCGTAAAAATCCACGAGCAACCGATTGGGAAATGAACTATTTTAGAAACCTTTCAAATATATTAGTGTTAAAATTGCGAGAAGCAAACATTAAAATTGTCAATATTTTGTTCTAAAGCGTAAACAGTTGCAGTAAGCAAAAAAATCTCTTACAAACATTCTTAATTCTATCATTCATTTAATCTGAAATTGGGTAACCAGAACCGGACATATCATTCCGGTCCCTTTCAACTTACGCCTTATTTTGTACTATAAAAAATAAGATCATCAATGCCTAATTGATTGATCTTTTTTATTTTGACTTTTATGGTAATCTCACGAAATTTGTGAAATCATTTTGGTTAAGGGTCTTCATATATGTAGTGTATAAAAGAGGGAAAGATGAATTTTTTTTTATTTTACTTTATGTTTTTAATTCTTTCAAAGTTACTGTATAAAGAATAAACAATGACGGTAAATGCACAAAAATGGGTAGAGAAAAATTGTCACCGAGATATTATCAGTTTAGACATTAGCAACAAAAAATTAAAAGGTCCCTTACGATTCGAGGGTTTTAATAAATTAAAATATTTAGATTGTTACAATAATGACTTGACTAGTTTGGACGTAAGCGATTGTACGAATCTGGTTAGTATCCGCGCTAATTACAATAGAATTCACAAAATAGATTTACCGAGGAATGACAAGGGATTGGAGTATTTAAACTTACTTGATAACAATTTCACTGATCAAGATTTACGTTGCTTTAGTAGATTTGTTAATTTAAAAGATTTACATATAGGAAATACTGGTACTGAAACTGATAGGGAGGAAAATATTTATAATCGTTTTCATGGCAGTTTGGAACCTTTGAAAACCTTAATAAATCTGGAAAGTTTAAGTATTAATAATACCGATATTAACTCTGGTTTGGAATACTTGCCTAGCAGTGTTGAAATTTTGCGATGTTCAGCGAAAGAAAGAAAAGTCAAAAAGATATGTGAAGATCTTAGTATTTTCGCAATGGACGATAACGACGTCTTCGCGGGTAGATATAATTTGAAAGCGTGGAAAAAAAATTGGATCTTGTCTACTAAATTAGAGAAAGAAAAAGACGACTTTCATTACCAATTGGAAGAGTTAAATAAGAAGTTAAGTGAAAATGAATATTTGAATACTCAACAGACGAAATTGGAAAAAAAAAGGGGAGAAGTGCTTGTTAAACAAGAAGAATTGAAATCAAAAAAAATTCAATTGGAGCAAGATATAGAAAATTTGCAGCAAAAAGTCAAAGATTTGAACACAAAGGTAGAACAAACAGAGATTATTTATCAACAGAAAAAGCGAGAATTAGATGAAAAGTTGAAAAGTTTAAATTCCTTTACCGCCGAGAAATTAATGGAAAAAGAAAGGTTGCATAAAGAAGCTAATGATTTAAAAGAAGACTTGGCTATAAAAAGAAAGGTTAAAGAGAAATTGGATAAGAAATTACAAAAAAATACCGAAGAACTGGAGAATAAGAAAAAAGAGATCGTAAATTTACAACATCAATTTGATGCAAATGAACTCATCATGTCCGATATAAAAATGGAAAAGGAAGAATTATTACGTCTCAAAAGAGAATTGAACAATAAAGTATATAAGGGAAAATCTAGTACAGCTGACTTAAGAAAGAGAATGGATGATTTGGAAAAACAAATTCGTTTAAAAAAAAATGAATTAAAAAAGCCATTGTTGGAAAATTTACAAATACAAGAAAGACTCGATGGGGCCAGAGAAAATGTGCAGACTCTCGAAGATGAAAAGGCTTACCTGAAAACCGTTTTGAAAATACATGGTGAAAATATGCAATATTCCAAAGACCTGATTTTTGATCTTGAAACCCAATTAAAAGAGAAAGAAGATCTTATTAATGAGCTCCAACGAAAAAATCAGCAGCAGATTGATTACCTTGAAATCCAATTAAATGAGAAAGAATATCTCATTAATGAACTTCAACAAAACAATGAGCAGCAAAATATTGGCCTTGAAATCCAATTAAAGGAGAAGGAATTTCTTATTAGTAAGATCCAGCAAACGAACCAGCAACGGCTAGGAGAAATAAATTGTTTGTTTTCTAAAATACAAACTAAAGAAAATGAGTTAAATAAATTATCTAATGATTTTATTTCTGAAAGTGAACTTGGTAGAGCAGGGAAAGATTTGTTAAAGAAACTTTTGAAAGAACAAGATAAATTTATCCGATTTAATGATTACTCTTCTGAAGAACTGGAAAAAACTAAAAAGGAAATTATAAAAGGTCACTTAAATTCGGATGATGTCCAAAATCTTTCAAGTCTTCTAAATAAACAAGCGGAAATTATTCGGTTAAAGTTGCAATTAGAGTCCTTAACAACAATTTAAAATATATATATAGTATTTTCCTCAAAAAAAAAAAAAAAAAAAAATTTTGTATTGGTCTAATCTATGATCCATTAATCCAATAAAATTAATTATCGTAAATATTAAAGGTAATTGAGCGTTTCAACAAATTAATAAAATGTTATATTAATATTTCTAAATAATTTATAAATGAGATACTTATTTTTACACATGTTGCATTGAGCCATTAAATGAACAACCAGCCTAACTTTTACAATGAAAAGTTCTTCTGCATAAGTTTAAATTAATTTTACGTATGTATCATTTGTATATGATGCATAATTCGAATTCTACTCAAAATAAGAGAATATTTATTAAGAGTTGGCGCGTGAATTGTACGCAAGATGAATAATTTGCACTGCGGAACATTATTTCAGGCAAATTCATATAAATCTTATAAATTGTCACAGACCATTGTTTTATTATGAATTTAAATTAAATGAGTCTTTACTTCTATTAAACATAAATATATAACAAAAAATATTTATATACATGTGAGAAACCTAATTTTATTTTTTAAAAAAAAGTGTATTGCTTGGGGGGAATAATTTTTAGATAGAATTAATCCTAATAGAATTAAGGAAACTCAAGGCGAGACCATAAGCATTTTGTGTCACGAAAAGAAATGCATTTTTGCGTAAATTTCTATTTACGATTTCTAAAAATATTTTACTATCTCGTCATATTCTTATACTTTCTTCAAATGTTTTTTGAAACTTTAACAGTTCCTTAACGTCACCTTCCAAAACTTTATCTTCTTTTTCTGCATTAGTCTTCAACTCAATCGCGAATGATAATACATCATTACGATCATCATACTCTTTACATAAATCTTTAAACTTGTTTTCGATTGATTTATCCTTTAGAAATTGTAGAACAATATCATATTGTGTTATTTCGTCAATATATATTTTCATTTTATTAAGAGTTTGAATTAATTTATGTAAACCGATATGATCTTTTAATAAATCTTCACTACTTTGTAAAATTACTGCAGAAACTGCAGCAGAAATACGTTCCATCAAAATTCTGGTTATATTTTTACAATGTAGAGCCGTCTTGTATATATCCGAAACGTCGTTAAGAATATCAACCATATCCCTAATTAGGTCAGCGGTGGAATCGGTTTGCGCTATAGAATCGTCTGTCTCGTTCATCTCAGTTATATCATTTTCTTTGTCAACATCTGGGGTTGAATTTGGCGGTGATTCGCTTTCCGAAGAAAATTTTAAATCTCTTTTGTGGAAAGTTTTAATGACATTAGACAATTCTGTCGTTATCATCTCATTTGAACTGGATCCTTGTTTTTCACTAGAATTAATATCATTTTTATCTCCCCCTAAATCAACACGTATAATAATTTCTTGAGTATATTTTGAATCTGATGAGGAAATCATTGCTTTTAAAGTTTTAACAACTTCTTGAATCTTTGGTCTTTCACTAGGATTACCATCCCAACATCCTAGATAAAATCAAATTAAGTTAAATTAAATATACTTAACATTTTCCAAATCTTTGAAAATTTTCACTTACTTATGTAAAGGTTAGAATATCCTTCAGGTGTATTTTCTACAACAGCTTCTCTCAATCCTTTTGAAATTTCCATGGCCAAATCAAAATCATACTTATCAGCAGCAAAAGGTAATTTTCCACTAGATAATTCCCAAAATAATACACCAAGACTATAAATATCACTTTCCTTACGCAGTTCAACCTTTTTTGATATGAGAGACTTTCCCGATGAAATTTTATTTTTTGCATCACTAAATCTAACTGGATCAATATATGGAACTATGCCAAATACTTCTGTTATAGAATTATCTCCAATACGCTTGCTTAATCCAAAGTCCGCTAATTTAATTGAACCCCCATGTATAAGAATATTGTCTGAATGTAAATCACCGTGTACAATTTTTTCGTCATGCAAGCATTCTATTGCGCTTGATAATTGAAGTGATAAACTGTATTTATCTTGCCAATTAAGAACGTGAAACTTCTTTTTTAAATAATTGCGAAGAGTTCCTTCATCTGCATACTCTAACGCCAGTAAATATTTTTTCTCGTCTTAAAAAAAGGGAGGGAAAGAATTAAATTAAATTATTGAAAATTCTTGAATAAAAAAGAGTATTCTTAGTATTTACATTATTTACCTGAATTAATAGTAATACCATAAATTCGTATTATATTATCATGAAAATCTACATCTCGATGTAATTTCAACTAAAAAAAAAAATTTTCTTGGTACAATTTCGTTAAAATTTTCCTTTTCCACTCCAATTACATACCTCTTTAACAATCTTTTTAACGGTTAACTTGTCTGATTTAAATGACTTTAATGCAAAATATTTTTCACCATATTTCGCTCTATAGACTGTACCAAATCCTCCTCTACCTATTTCTTCTATATTTCTAAACTTCTTATATTCGTAATTTTTTATATGCTTCTTTTTGATACTTTCTTTTATCCATTCCATGATGATAGAATTTTTGTTTAGAATAGATACTAAATTTTTTTCGTTTCTTCTAGTCCAGAGGGTATAAATCGATAAAAATATTGATCTTATCGTTTTGAAAAATAAAAAATCCGAGGGAAATAAAAATTTTATCAAACTTTATATGTTACTAATGAAATCACTTATTAAGCATGTGTCACAACTTCAATTTCTCACGACATCAATCCCATTGACTCATTACCTAGTTGAAATAACTGATTATTAAATAAGATCATTCATTATTTCTTGTTTGGCAACCGGTTTTTTGTTACATTTTAAAATTAAATTTTTAATTAATTATTTAATGAATATTTTAATTTATATAAATTTTAAAATATTTGTTTATTATTTATTAATATAATTTTTTATTATTTTTAAAAAAAAAATAAATGAGACTTTTGCAATAAAAAGGAGGAAATCTACCAGAAATAAATCAATGATTTTTAGATTAAAATATATTTAGATTAAGCATTATCTCATTTTTTTTAGCCATTTCTTCCTTTTCTATTGTAAGTAAAGATAGGTATTACAATTAGATTTTCTTTATTTGTAAGATCCCAAATCTTTTATTATTTCTTTAAAATAATATTATTAAATTAAAAAGAATAAATAAAATTTATAGCTTAACTTATATAATTATATATAAAATTGTTTATAAATATTTTAGAAAACTTATAATATTTTAATATCTAGTGATTATAAAAAGATGAAATAAGTTTTTAAAATTTGTTATATTAGAATATATATAATAATAGTATTAACATTGATAATATTAATATATAAGAGCTAAGCTATTACAATAAGGTTACTCTTTTAACTAAAAATGAGATTTTTGATTTATATTAATATATAATATATAAACTTTATTTAGTTAAATTTATAATTAATTATTTTATTAACAAAGCAAACAATTAGACTGGTAAAATTTTGTTTAATCAGTTAGAATTTAAAATTAGATTTTGAAAATGATTATATTATTTTAAATTCTTTAAAATTCAAAATTTTTTAATTTTAAAAAATTATAATATAAAATTTATATTAATTTTTGAATGTATATTTGAATAGAAGATTTAAAATATTTATATCTCTAGAAAATTTTTTATTGAAAAATATTAAAAATAATTAAAATTTTTTATTAAAAAAATTCTTTTTTAATATAAATTATTTTTTTAATAAAATTAATATAATAATATTTTGTATAAATTCTGAATAATTCAAATTAATCTAAAAATTTTCAGTTCAGATTGACTTATTTAGTTTTAAATTATATATAAAGTAATCTAAAATTTTAGATAGTTTATTTTAAATGAATAATAAAAATATTATTTTATTAAAATGTTTAAATTATCATTTTAAATGAATAATAAGAATATTTATCTAATTAGAATGGTTAAAATTATTATTTTAAATAAATGATAAGAATATTATTTAATTAATATTATTCTAAACGAATGATAAAATATTATTTAATTAAAATGATTAAAATTATTATTTTAAATAATAAAAATCATATTATAAAAAACTGTAAAATATGAAATTATCGATAAATATTTTGATTATTTTCTTAAAAAAAACAAATATTTTCTTCTAAATAACTATTTATTCTGACTATTTTTATTTTTAACTTTGTAATTAACTTTGTTAGCTTTATTACTTATTTAAATTTATCAAATTTTATTATATAATTATATTATTTAACTATTTTAACTTTACTATTTAATTTATAAATCAATTTTACAATTTAGCTTTGCTAACTTCACTATTTAACTTTTTACTACTTGATTTTATCAAATTTTATGATATAAATTTATTAATTAGTTTTGATACCTTTACCACTTAATTTAAATTTATTAATTAATATTATTTATTATTTTTATTTAACTTTTATTATTTAACTTTATTACTTTTAGATATTTAACTTACATTTAATTAATTATTTAGTTTATTAACTTGTATTATTTGCTTTATTACTTGATTAGTTTTTATTATAATATTATAAATATTACAAAAAAATTATTTGATAATTTTATAATTTATAATAATAAAGATTTATACAAAAAGATTGGATTATATAATTTAACTAAATGGATAATTATTATTATTAAAAATACATTTTTCAAGTAATAATAAAAAGACATTTTGAAACTTAAATTTATTCTAATGATAATATATATAATAATATTATTAAAGTATATAATAATGAAAAAATTAATATTAAAAAATAATTATAGGAAATATCAGATAAAATTTCATTTACTTTTGATTTATTAGACTTTTAAAAATCAAGTTTTATTTATTAAAATTATAGTATATTAGATTAAAAAGATTGAAAACTTAAAAAAATCCTTCTTGATTTTTATTATTTTAAAGAATCTCATTCAAGTAAAAATATTTCATATATATTTTATAAAATCTTAAAAAAAATATAAAATATTACAAAAGATAAATGTTTTAATTTATTTAATTAATAAAAAAAATAAGTATATTTTTAATTAAAAAATAATATTTTTAATATTAAATATTATATCTGATAATGCATATAATATGAATACTACATTTATTAATTTATTTTTTGAATGATAATATAATTTTTAATTTTAAAGATCAATATATATAATATTTAACTTATATTATTAATTTAGTTATTTAAAAAGTTTTTTAATATTAAAAAGAGTTAAATCAAAAAGAAAATATAAAAATAATTGATATTAACTATTAATAATATTACTATAATTTAATTAAGAAAATTAGTAGTTAAAATTTATACTTCACCTTAACAATCACTGAATAAATCTAATATTATACAGATCTAATTCTTTTTATTTGTAATCAACATTATACATTATTATGATTTATTATACGAAAATTTAAAAATTACTAATTTAAACTAGATTTTGTAAAATAAAACAAACCAATTAAAAATAATTTTTTTAATCTTGAGTATGTATGCAACATTTTTTCTTAAATATATTAATAAGAAATTTTTTTTTGTTCAGAAGGATCTTGAGGTTAAAGTTGATAAACTATTAGTAATTCAAATATTCAAAAATGCAAATAGTTATTGAAGACTGTTTTAATATTGATGAAAATAGTAATGATAAAACAGTTTTTGAACTAGAGACTTTTGAATTTAATGAAATAGACATAACATATAAATTTAATAGTGATAGTAATTTCAGTGAATTTAAAAGTAAGAATGAAAAAAACGAAAATAATGATAAAAATGATTTTATTATTGAATAAAAAAAACAAAAAAATTAACTTTGTGTATATTGGTTGATAAATTAAAGATAAAATTCAAAGATGTAAAAATACAGAAAGTTTCAAACATTATAGTAATTAGTTAAAATATAGTAAATAGATAGTAAAAAGTTTTAGAAGTAAGTGAATCTTTAGAAAAGCTTGAAATTTGCAATTATTACTTTAATCACGATCAGAATAAATTACACAATTCAAAAATTAAACAGATAACTTTTACAGTAGATAGTGTTCTTTATAAGCAGAGGTGTCTTTTTTGTGAAAAACTTTTTATTTTTTTAGTCAAGGTAATGGTTGCTCAAAACATTCCAAAAATTATTTGAAAAAAATATACAGATTGCATGTAACAAACAATATATATGTTCTGCACTTAAAGATTGCAATTCAATTTATAAATTAGCTTTTGAAGATATTAAAGATTCACATTACATTTATTCAGAATATTATGAATTGAAAGGTGGTTACTTTCATGTAAAAACTGATAAAGAATAAACAATAATAACCTGTATTAATTAAAAATACTATAATGAAGATAATAAAAAAAATTTAAAAATAATTATACGTTAGCTATTTAATGTTAAAAATGATAAAGATGAAAAGTATCAAAAAAAAATACTGGAAACCTTTTTACCTATTTATTTTCAATTTTTAAATAAAAATTATTTAGAAAAAAAGTACAAACATAGTAGAAAATCAATCAATTATATTTTCCGCTTCTTCTAATATACTATCAAACTTTCTACTTTTTTTATAGTTCGAACATTAACATACCTAAATCAGATTTCAATTTATTCCAATAAAAAAGAACTTGAAGAAAAAGATTTTAAATAACTTAGAGAAATATTCAGAAATAAATTATGATAATCATATAAATATTTAAAAACTAATCAAAGTTATCTTTGATTTTCAACTAATATTGCAAAGTATATTAATGTGTTTCTTAATTTATTAAAAGTATTTTTTGAAAAAATGTTTTTACAATTAGAATTAAAAAAAATAATTCAATCTAATCAAAAAAAAATAAGACAAAACAAACCTTTAAGAGAATCTGATCTCCAAAAAATAAATAAATCTATTTCTTTTTTACTTTCAATATTAATAGAATATGCTTTTCCTTATTTTAATCTTTAACTTCCTACTATATTATTATCTTTATGTAAAAGACTGAAATTAATTTCTTCACTCCATTCATTGTTAACTAAATATTCAATAATTAGACATACAAATCATCATGAAAAGCGATGATACCATATGAAGTCAATCCTACTGCGTCACAAAAGATTGATGAATGATCAACGTTATTAACATCGTTAACATTTTTAACTTAGTTAACATTTTTATTTTATTTATCTTATTCTTATAT